CTGCTGCATGATGATCCAGCTGCAACAAATGAAAATTAAAAAGATGCGGCTACAAAACAATGTTAACTACAACCAACAAAACGAAAGCAACAACATTGCCAACAAGCACACAAGAGACACCGTCTAGTAAGTTTTAGTAGACTTTACTAGTAAGCCTAGTTAGCTGGTCTAACTTCCAGATCGGCATATGGGGGTCAGCATCGGATGATCGGAAGTACTTGAACAGACCATGGAGATATAATTTTATAAAAGGGATAGCTCCATGAACAGACAGTGCTGATAACCAGATAACGCCTCGGGCTGAAATCTATTAATCTGGAAAACCATAACAAACCTCCAAAAAAAGGGGTTTGCAGCAAGCACTTTCGTCTTGTTTACCGGTATTTTGCTTATGTTAATAATATTTTACTAATCATGATATCATTCAAGTGAAAATGTTTCCGGTCCGTAAAATGTTAAATGGCTTAATGGACACAGAAACAGACGCACAATGCACCGATGATCACGGCGAATGTGGCAGGCACGGACGGCCGCGGGTGCGCGGCAGACTAGACGCGATCACGAGGGTTCGCTCACGGCCGCTCACTCACGGCACATCGACCACGCCAAAACGGCCATACATATACCATGGAGGTATACTGACAACTAGCACATGTACTCGCACAAAAATACTTCCAAAAATACTACCAATGAATGCATACTTACCACGATTAATAGATCCTGACATTAGAGTCTTACTGCAAAATAGCCGTGCGTTTCCATTCGTGTCTGACGGTGAACTGAACTAACTTCGCACACGTACACATGCACTGTACTAGTACAGTACAGTGCAACCAGGAAGTTATAATCTGGAAAACTTTTATCTGGTAACCGGCAGTCATCTGCGTATTCTTAACCTGTGCCAATATCTGTAGGCACCAGCGAAAGAGTCAAACTTTTACTATGAAGCGCCTAGTAGGCCTATTCTATCATGTTTGGAGAAAACGTTTTTCTTCTTTTAAGAAAAAAACGCACACGGTTTCGCTTGTTTCCCAACTCAGACCACTCCACTTAATCTCCAGGCAGTTTCATGATCACGAATTCCCTGAGAAACGCTTCCTATTCCTGATGAAAACAGGAGAAACGGGCTCTCGAGTTGAGATGAATGATTCATTTGTGTATTTCTTTAGTGGCCGCATGGCAGCTGTGCGCAGCCAGCGCTGTGGCTAAAATGTAACAAAACTGAACCAAGCTAATTAGCTGAACCATAGGATGTTCCACTGCGCAAACCACACAAAGTAGCCACTGTGATATAAAAAAGACCTCAGTAATAAACACTATGTTACGGCAGATAGGTGATTGGATTGTGCCTTTGATGATACAAGCATGGAATTTTGCACACAGTCAGAGTATGTCATGAGAATTACATTTGGCTATATAGGCCATCCTAGATTTGTCCTTTGAAAAAATATAGGTAGAATAACCAGCAAAGGCAGCCATATTGAATTTGTTTTTTAAATTGCTTGTTATATTCTACCTTTACTTTTTCAAAGGACAAATCTGCGATGGCCCTATAACCAAATACATACTGACTGTGCCGAATTCCATGCTGTAATTGTATCATCCAAGGTACAATTCCCCCAAATAGTTTCCCAATCTGCCCCACTATAATGAAGTGTATATAATGGTAAATGCTGTAGTAGAGGAAGTCCATGTGAGAAGTCCTAGGATGAAATAATATAGTACATAAGACCATGGGAGAGGAAACCATTAACATCGGAAATGACAATAATCCAAACTCAAAACCACATACACCTATACCATGGACTATAGGAACATATTAAAGGGAAGATACAACATTTGCAAACATCAAAAAACAAAATGATCAAATTATCACGAAATTCTTTACTGGACTGTTGGGGAATGACAGTCTAAAGCATCCCGTAAAAGCATGGCTCCCGGTGTGCTGACATTTTTAAGTAAAGCAGTATTTGCGTATCTATTTCCAATGCTGGTCAGAGAAAACTGGCCTTTTTTCAAAAACTGCTGCTAAATTTTCATATTTAGTTATTTCGCATTTTCTTTGCAATTGATTACACACCTGTGAAGGGGTACAAGCCAGCTAGACCGTTCTCTGACCTAATAATCCCCAACGTCTATAAATTGCCGTTTCATCTTAAGTGGGGAATGGGAACCAGACTTCAAGAAGCATGGTTTTATTGGTCTTTCCAGCATCTATGAACCCAAAACGTGAAACAAGGCAGTGTTACAATATTTGTTATAACATGCTATTCCTCCAAATCCATTTATTTCTGAAAGTTACAGCAAAACAAAATGTTGTACATTTCCTTTAACTATAAGTGATTCAAAACTCAGGCATCCAGCTTGTCTCTTAAAATTTAAAGGGGCCATGAAGTCAATTGTTCTTAGGAACATATTTTTGCAACTTTCTGCTCCTCTTAAATAAAAGAAAAATATTTGACATCCCTTTTGGGTTAATTTTGACAAGTGGACTTCTTCAAGCATTCCAGTTTTCCTTGCAAATGAGACACTGTTCAGTTTAGGGTTTTTTTGTTCAAAGTGTGAACCCAAAAATTTGCTTATCGAAAATATTTTTGAGTACAGTTTGGCTAATTACTGCCATGTACTGACACAACAAATCGCCAAAGAAAAGAAAATTTACGACAGTGAAATATCCGAAATTCTGGCAACTTTAGCTGTAACATTCCAGTTTCTGCCTGAAATGACATCACACTTTTGCTCATGAATATGGAAATTTGCATTAGCATAAAAACCAAAAACGCACACAAATATCTTGAAAATGGCGAAACGAAATTGAAAATAGGGCAAGTAAATGGAAAACAAAGTTGCATTTCCAAGGATTGCATTACAAAAACTACACTGCATAGAAGACTGTCATTAAAGGGTTCCAAAAAATAATTGAAATTTACAATGAAATAAAAAAGAAGAAAAAAAGAAGTTGTTTGCCCCCCCCCCCCTTACTGCTTTGCAATTGACTAACTCAAAGATCACACAGACATTTCTGGTATTTTTTGTGTGTACAATGTATATCACATTTATTGTACATTATCACAAACGTCTGGGCAAAGTACATACAAATCATGTCAGAGGGTGAAATTAAACCAAAAAATGCTTGGACAAAATCAACCAGCTCAATCCATTTTGGTCTATTACAATCCGAGTATAAAATTCCTTCATTCACGCATGCACTTGCAGAACAAAGTTTGACTATAAAGCACACATCTTTTTGTCGGACCTATAATAGATAAATGATCAGATAAGTGTCCAATCGTAATTTCACCCTCTGTCATGGCAGTATTTTGACAACTGAACTGCAGTGCTTTCTTTTAATAATAAAAGCCATATTTTTGTTGGAATACGTGTAGGTGCTAAAAAATAATTATGAGGAAAATATGAATGTGACACTCTAGCCCATTCAAACAAGTTGTGAGTTTCCTCCGAGTTTTTTTAGCTAGCTTAATTTTGTTCTATCTTACTGAAAAGCTTTTACATGTTTTTCCAGTTTCAGAGGGTAGTGTGGCCTAGTGGTTAGGGTTTGTGACTCATGATCAGAGGGTCAGGGGTTCGAATCCAGCTGCTGGTCAAATGTTGTGTCCTTGGGCCAGCCACTTCACCCCCACTTGCCTCTCTCCACCCAGGAGTATAAATGGGTACTGGCATGAGCTGGGGAGTAACCTGCGATGGACTGGCATCCCATCCAGGGGGAGTAGAAATTATTCTTAGTCGTTTCATGCTACTGAAACCGGAGATAAACGCCGGCCTGATGGGCCACATTGGCTCGTGACAGACTTTACTCTCTACTTGAGTTTCAGAAAACTTGTCATCAAATCACCTTTAATACGAATTTCATTGAAAGGGTGGGACACAAAAAGATGCACACTGAATGAAAACAAAAGCAAAACAATTACCTGTCACATAACACATCTAGTAAACATCATAAATCCATGATTTTTTAACTCTTTTAATTAAAGGTAATAATTATTCATATATCGTTCGTACTTGTAAGAGCATTAAATACCAACAAAATGGGGCTTACCCATATTTTTCAAAGGACAAAGTTCTCAAAAAGTCCTCTTCTAACAACTCTTGGGCTTTTCTTGACCATGGGTCTCCAAAATTTGAAAATTCTCCATAAATAATAATTGGTTATAAACGTACTCAGGTGTTAGATTGGGGAAAGTGAAAAGTCCACGAAAAAAATCGGCTTAAGGTTTGAGCATCACCAAGAGCCCCTGATCAATGTACATGTAGGTTATATGGTATATGATTGTATTTAGCAGGGTACCTGAAGAAAACCTGATGGGGATTAGGCCAAAACAAAAAAGGCTTCGGTTTCAGGTGTGGAGCTTTTTTTTGTTCCCCTCCTTTTTTTGTCTTCAAATGTCGGCTGATGTTGCAGATGACGCTTCGATCCCCTTAAAAATCTCAAAAATATCCTTAGGGTGACCTCAGTAAGGCCATAAGGATTGAGAATTCTGCACCCACTTGCGATCTTGACTGACACAAACATTCTTCGGGAAATTTGGATAGTCAAGACAAAAATCTGAGAAAACGGTTACGTCAGACCATATAGTGACATCGACATCGTGCAAGTGCTGCCAGGCTGGTCATTAGTCTGCTCCCTTACATATTGCGCGCTAATTAAAAAATGTTTACAGGTTCTAGATACACTACCATCGCTCCCTCAGTCTGGCTTGAATCCAGACGCACAATTACAAAATTACAACACCATCTGCAAATGGTGCCCACTAAAATTCAGTGCAAAATATACGGGAGTCCAGAGAGGCCACATGAAGCTTATAATCGATCATAACCCCATCTAAAATCATGTTAAAATTGTGCAGCAGGATTCCAGTCAAACCAGTGAGTTTGGTGGTTTTGAGACATCATCTTACATTGAAAAAAAAACCCTTTTTAATATTGCTGACGCGCATGGCTATGGTGATGCGAGTGCAGACCAAAAACCAGAGACTTTTTTGGGCCTTAGGGTAAACAACATGTGACATAATTATGACTAAGAACAATAACACCATCCTCAAGTGTGTGAGCGTTGAATCCAGTGAGACTTTGGTTGCTTTCGTTGGCCCACTTACGAAGCTTTCATTTAATGTTGTGCAGTACCTGAGGGCCTGGTGATAGAAAAACACAATAAAGAAGGTATTTATGATTCACTTTTGTTGGGGTTAGTTTTGAAAATGGAAACTGAAATCAGGCAAAGTGAAGGCTCCATATGACTATGCTGAATAAACATAACCAGAGGTGACACATATTTCATGTTGGGTTTGACCTTTCACTGACATGATTTTTATACACACTTTATACTCGGTACTGCCTGAGGTCTTGCGAAACAATATTCAAGACGGCTCAAGCAGGACTCGAACCCATGACTTCCTATTGATCAGGGGCGTAGCAAGGTCATTTTGATTGGGGGGGGGTTCAAAATTTCTGGAAAAGGGCACTTGCACATCTGTGCTTAAATGTAGACACGTTTTGTTTTTCTCCGACACTTGGGGAGGGGGGGGGGCTGGTACTCATCTGTCAATGGGGGCGCTGTTTAAAACCGACAATTATGCACAATAACAGACAATTTATGGTGTTTTTCAGGGCGATACATTTCAACAAATGGCATCCGTAACGGCCGATGGCACAAAAAGGCACACCTTTTTTTTTTTAACAAAAGGGCACTTGTTCAGGAAAAAAGGGCACTTGTTAACAAAAGAAGGGCACTCTTTCACAAATATTGGGGAGGGGTGGGTAAGTACTGGTGAAAAAAAGAGCAATTTTTCAAGATATTGGGGAGGGGGGGGTTGTTAAATACACCCCCCCCCCCTCCCAGCTTCGCCTATGTTGATGTAATGACTCTGCAGTCTGCATGCTAACTAAAAAGGACTTCCAAAGGAGTGATTTGGATGTTTATCGGCAGCTGCTCACTGTTTCAGAAATACCCATCCAACAAACACTAGGCATTTTCTTAAAGGTCTTTTGCAGTTATCCAAAAAGTATCTGACAACATGTTTTTCGAAAATCTTACTTGGTTTAAATATAGTAAATGTTAATAAACTCCCTGTGAACTTATTCTTTCTGGCAAACTGTCGTTTTGAAGAAAACAACAAAAGAAGGTCATTTCCAAAGATGCGTCAAGTAACACATTTTTTGAAAATTCCGTTAGTAGTTGGTTTGTAATTCGGGAATCCATGAATGGGTGAAGGGCAAGCGTTGACACAATGTACATGCCCACAGGGTTGCTGTTATTCATCAGTTCAGTGCGTGACATCGCGTAGCTGCGATCAGCTGATTGAGAACGTGTCCCGGACGCTGATTTCAAGTGCAGTTCAAAACGTGACTCGCCAACTTTTGAAAGGAAACCGAGATCCCAGAGCATTGTTTTCTTGGTTAGTTGTTAAGTACCCGTCTTTAGATTTTGAGCCATTTTGTTGCTTCAAATGAGAAGAAAAAAAATGCACAAACCAGAAATGATCTACCCTACCTTTAAAGCTATAGTCCATCATTTGTAATTAGTGCATTTTGTTCGTTTGAAGCAACAAAAGTGTTCAAAATCTAATGAAGGATACTGAACAACTAACCTGATGAAGTTTCAGCTAAGCTTCAGCTGTATATTCCGAGAAAAGCAGCATTCTAAGATCTCAATTTCAAATCAAAAGTTACTGAATCATGTTTTGAATAGTTTTGAATTGCAGCTATACGCGGCGTCGCGCACTGATCCGACGAATTATAACAACCGCGCGCTGCGCTGAATAACAAAACGAACTACTAATTTAAATTTTCCTACGGTGCTTCTTAAGAATCACTGTTGGAAATACATTCTTTCGTTGATTACTTCAAAATGACAGCTTCCCAGAAAGAATAATTTCACAGGGAGTTTAGTTCCCTTACTATCTTTCAACCAAGTTTGTTTTTCAACAGTAATTACGCCAGTTACTTTTCGGATGGCTGCAAATGATGGACTATAGCTTTAAAGCAAACTTTGAAGTGTTATGAAGTGTCTAGTAATGCATAGCCTTTAGTCAAGGCGCACGTGCCTACCCGGACGCGTGGCGCCCCAGATTCTGGCACGAAAAAAGACCAGTCGAGTGGAGCTAATCATTATTCAATTTTTTCAAGTAATATGATCCATGCATGTATGCGGATATATATGACCTAATCACCACGAACAAGCCATTTTTGAGGTGATGACACGCACGCGCCCTCGAGCACGCGGGCCACACGCGTTCTAAAAAAACAAGACGTGTGCGCATTCACAACATGTCATGCAATATGCATAAAAATTTGTCTACTAAATCGGTAGACAAATGTAAAGAAAAGCATAAGCGCTCTCCACTAGCTCGTGCTTGTCTTTCTATGTGCTAGTTTTTTACGTGCCAGTATCCTGGGTGCGTCACATGTCCGGATAAGCGCGTGGGACTTGACTAAAGGCTAAGTAATGCAAGGATGGACAGCCATGCTTCCAGTTTGTACAAATGATGATCAAAGAAGGTATGTTATTGTGACTGTTAACTTGTGGAGTGCAACATGGGGTACTTACTTGGCCCATTCCACTTTCAGGATGAGATGATCGTACCCAAACCCTGACACACCACGGATGGCGTTCGCAGCACTATCTTTGCCGTGGAAATTGATGAAGGCGAAACCCTGTAAAAGAGGGGGTAACATTTGTGACCTACTGAGGAAAAATGAGGAATGTCCCCCAAAACCTCTTTTTGAGAAATCGACGCCTGAAGTCGGATATACTAGAAAAATCATGTCAAGATCGATATTGATTGTTTTGTATTTTTGAGTAGCCAAGGTATCCAAGATTCAAGCTATGCATTTTTGTTGCAAAAAAATACCCACAAAAGTGGAAAATCTGAAGAACGTTTTTCACTGCCGTTGGAGGCGCAATGGGTGTCTTTTTTTTTTTCAAAGCCGTTTTTCTCGAAATGAGGTTTGCGAAACTTGGCAGGACACTGCTGACGTTCCTGCGGCACATCTTTGGTATAAATTAATGTAAAAGCTACAGAAATAAATGTGGTATCAGTGGAAAGCAAATGTCGCTGTAATATGATGTAAACAACGTGAAAGGTCAAAGGTGGGGTTTATTCCTCATTATGCTATGGCAGGTCACATTTGTAGACAATTTGGAGATAATGAGTGTAAAATGATTCCTCGCATCGCAATGTTGAATTTTGTACCAATTTCAAGACACCAGACAACTACATGTTTTCAATGTATCAGTCCTGTGTTTTGTAAAGTTCTTTGATGGGAATAGTTCCAGTAAACTATCCTGAGAATGTCTTTATAAAATAAGATAATTGAAATGTCAACTGGCTTTAAAACCTTCAATACCAAAACCTGGAAAACCTTAGGGGGATCTCAATACAAAATAAAAATTTAAAACTAATTTGGAAACAAAAACCTTTTAAAAAATACACTGTAATTTTGAATAGAATTCTTTGTTGTTAGTTTCTGGCTTCCCAGCATTCTCCTAAATCTACCACTTACTGACACAAACAGTATTTACCCAAGCCCTTCATTTTTCATTGTGTGATTTACATATCTTCGCTGCAGTGTAACAAGGTCGTAACTGGATTCTGCAACAAAGTCGTATCTCGCACAAATACGCTCCCTGCCACAAACGTCGTATCTCGACGTCCATTGACATTTTGTGTAAATCCGGGTTATTTTAAAGGGAAAATACAACAGTTGCAAACATCGAAAATTAAAACTACCAAGTTGTTACGAAATACCTTACTAGGATGTTGGTAAATGACAGTCTAAAGCATCATGTAAAATGAGGGCACCTGGTGTGAAGTCATTTTCAATAAAAAAGCTACTTTTGTATGCTTTTCCAACGGTGGTCGGGCGACCACCGTTGGAAAAACCTGACTATTTTTTAACTACTGCTCCAAATTTACCATTTTTTTCAGTCCAAATATTTGTTTGCTATTGGTTCCATGTTCATGAACGGGTGCAGGCCAGATAGACTGGTTCCTTTACCTTACAATTTTCCGGCATTTTTTTTTATCCATTTCATCTTTAGTGGAGTCAGGGAACCAGACTACTTGAACTTTTTTTTTCCATGGTTTTTCCAGCATTTTCGAACACAAAACTTCAAACATGTCAGTGTAACAATATTTGATCTATTATACTAATCCCACAAATAGTTCATTCTGAAAATGACAGCAAAAGCCAATGATGTACATTCCCTTTAAGTGAGATATGACCTTTTGACATTCTAAAACTTGTGTTTCACGTAAATGCTACTTCAGGAGGTACATGTACGACCTTGATGCAATGACGCAACGATATGACAGTGTGTAACACTGTTATGAAAAATATTCAATGAGATTTCATTTTTCCGAGTTGTAGGACAAAAAGTAGGAAAAAGTAGAAACTTCAAGGGAAAAGTAGGAAAAGTACGAATACTTGAAAGCCTGAGTAAGTTTAGCTTGATCAATCAAAGCGATTGTAAGTTGGGAAGGGTTATACCTTTGACCGGCCTGTGTTTTTGTCCATGGCTAGGTAGATGCGTTGAATGGGACCAAACGAGTGGAACAGGTCTTGCAGGTCGGCTTCGCGGGTATCCTCCGAGAGATTGGTCACGCGGATCGTGGTGCCCTGGTCTGTGTCAAGATGAAGAAATGAGCCAGAAAAATAGGTTTGAAGAATGTTGTAAAATGATGAAAGAAAATAAAATTTTGGTTTGGTGCTCAATCAAGTCATCCTGCCAAGCTCAAAGTTTAACCAAACCACTGAATGACATACAAGTCTTTTTTCTTAAATCTATCTCTGATGATGAAATCAAAATGTTCTTATATAAGTACTCATTTGACCACCAACGATTTTAGAGTTAGTTGAAAAAAATAACAATAACACTAGTACACAACGATTTCAGTGTAAGATGAAAATATAACAATAACACTAGTAGTAGCACAGTGTCTTTTTAAGCATCAGTGCTGTGCATTTGTCTAATGATTAAGTGTATGATAATATAATGGTACGCAGATTTTATGAATCCCCAAGAAATTTTGGCTTTTTGCACATCCTTGCCTGTTAACTCAGGATTTTGTGCTGACAAGTAGCACAGACGGTTTGCACTAGCGCTGTACAGAGTGAGTAAAAAAACGAAAGATTTCTTTCAGTACAAGAATCATTCAAATCACTCATGCACTTTTCAAGTTACGGCATTTTACCACCGTTTTAAAGTTCTGTCCACGGATCACTAAAAGGTGAGCGTTCTTTCAGTAAAACTTAAACAATTCACACACATCCTTATGTGATTTGTTTTCGTTTCGCTGAAAGAATACTTTCATGTTGTACCTTTTTGTGATCTGTGGACAGAACTTTAAAACGGTGGTTGTGTTTAAAATTCCGTAACTTGAAATTTACATGAGTGATTTGAATGATTCTTGTACTAAAAGAAAGCTTATGAATTGGGCTTTCGTTTCCTAGATTGCTACATGCAGAACTTCACTAAAACAATGGTCCCGACATTTGGGTTTTGTTTTACTCGCCCTGTATACGGGATGGAGATCATACATGCAGAATTCCACGACTTAACAAAACTAATAAATTTGAGTGCTTGTGGGTCACTTTGGGGTCCTTGTCTGTGGTTACCTCTCTTCGAATCCATGGGAGTGACTTTTCTCTGACCCGATGCATCGCGAGCGCTGGGTGGGACGTATTTGCCTCCTCCAGCTCCGGCTGCCTTCTTAGCAGCATCTGCACCTGTGTAAATCAGGATAAATAATAACTAGTTGACTGATAATATATCAGAGCATGGGCGAGTGGTTAGGGTTTGGGACTCCTGATCAGAGAGCTGGGGGTTCTAATTCAGCTGTTGGTTATTGTCCTTAGGCAAGCCACTTTATCCCAACTTGGCTCTCCTGCCTGATGTATGTAATTAGGTACCAGCATAAGCTGTAGGACTGGCATCACATCCAGGGGGAAAACACAGATTCTAAATCATTCCATTTTAGGGAGTGAACGAGAGCAATATTTAATTCATAAGAAACTTCAACCTATCACCACTGGTAATAAATTGTATTACACTGTGCTTAGTCACTGAAGAATCAATCCAACAATCAGTTTCGGGTGCTACATTGAGTAATAGGCGGGGTGGTTTCAGGTACTAAGGAAGTCTTCTTATCGAGTCCACTTCACAACAAGCTTGACTAAAGCGTCAATCCATATCTTACATGTACATGTAACTCATAGGTGCAATGGTCCAGATTTAGCCCATTCATTGGCACGTAAAAAAAAAATTTCAAGGTTATCGCGGAAAAAGTTGAGGGGGGGGGGACGGATTCCACCCCCATCAACTTTTTCCGCGATAACCTTGAAATCCGATAACCTTGCGCATACCAAAAACATAAAAATGATACCAAAAACATAAATATCGGACCACAGGTTGCCGCACAGCGAAAAGTTTTCCGGCGCTATGCGCCGTGAAAACTGAATTTTCCCGTATACGTCGTGTACACAGAGCAGAATTGCCATTCGTACATATGAATAATTAATTTGCCATAATTCCAAAACCCTTTGACCTATAGTCATGAAATCTCTTGCGTATGTTTATGAAGAGATGCTCTATGCATGTACTGAGTTTCAAAATTTTTCGTCACTCGATGGCCGAGATCTTAGGGGGGGAGGGCAAAATCCCCCCCCCCCCTCGGCTAGTACTATCAGAAAGAACTGCCCAGCTAACAAGTGACGGGGAGTTAGACAGTCAGTCAGTGAATGAATGAAATGGGTGTGAAGAGGACACTGGGCTCACCAAACAATAACATAAAAAGATTCTTTAGCCCTAACCGCCCTGAATCCTTCAAAATCCTCTTTGCCAAAGTGGATGAATTTGGAGGATTGAGGTTACATGGCAAAAGTGCGTTACTGATTTCATAGGATGCACTTTGTCAAGGTCTTGGGCCGGACCTTTTGTTGTTTTTGCTCAGCCATGCATAAATACAGGCCTGGATTATGCTTGAAATCCTCCGTACTGCTCCAGGATGTCTCTGACCAAGCCCCAACACATTGACAGTCACTGCCGCAAGTTTTTGCAGGATTCAGGCAGTGGTTACCCCTCCACGGACCACATTCAAGAAATAATGGAGGAATTTGCAGGATTGAGGCTATATGCTATTTTTCCATGAGGCCAATTGGAGGATTGTGCAGGATTGAGGCTACATCCTAGCAAAAAGGCCTAGGGAGTTAGGGTTAACCCTAAAAGGGCGGATTCCGGCCCCCCCCCCCTCCTTCAACTTTTTCCGCGATAACCTTGAACAAAATTTTTTTCGCACCCCGAGCTGTTTTGACTTTTTAGCCTCGAGCCTTGCGCATCTTTTGATACCAAAAACATAAAAATCGGACCACAGGTTGCTGCGCAGCGAGAAATTTTCCAGCGCCACGCGCCGTGAAAACTGAATTTTCCCGTATACGTCGTGTACACAGAGCAGAATTGCCATTCGTACATGTACATATGAATAATTAATTAGCCCCCCGGCTGAGAGATGGTCAAAATAACCCGGCCCTTTTAGGGTTAATATCACAGAAGTTTTCAAAGCATGAAATCTGATGAAAAGTCAAAGTCTAGCAGGCCGCAATTATTTTTTGCAGCAACCAAGTATAGTCAATGACAATAATGCATATCCAGAGCCATGAATCAGCTTGATCAGGAAAAAAATAAAATCATTTCACCAATCATTAGGACTTGATTAAACACAATTTCAGAAGGAAAACTCAATTCGGGGGGGGGGGGGGGGATGTAAAATTTCTGGGAAATCGAACTCCAAACCTGCGGCATTTTGACCAGTGAACTTAGCTTAATAGCAGGCCACAATTCTACCATGATCTCCAACGGCAATTTAAATATATAACGTTATTTCAACGTTATATCTCATATATAATTCAATCAATCTAGGATATGTTTCACGCATGGGTATTAAGGTAAATAACTGTACTAGCCCTCAGAAGAAAAATTCGACAGCGGGCCATGTATTCTTACTTTCATCTGCCCCCTCTGCTCCATCAGCCCCGCCCCCTTGGAGGAGCTTCTCTTGCAGGGGTTCCAGCGAGTCCTTGTAAGGACACTTGGTGGTCCAGTGGTCGCCTTTGCAGACCCGGCACATGACCAGTCGCTGGCTCTGCAGTTTCTTCAGGGCGTCGTCTTCTTGCTGGTTGGTGCCGTCCTGGGTGTGAGAACGAGAAAGCAAGTCCAAAATCAGAGGCCGAACTTCTACATACTAAGTAAGTCTGGCACGAGCCAATATGGCCCATCAGGCCGGCGTTTATCCACTTCCTTAGCATGAAATGACTGAGAATATTTCTATTCCCCCTGGATGGGATGCTGGTCCTTCGCAGGTTACTCCCAAGCTAATGCCGATACCCATTTACACTCCTGGGTGGAGAGAGGCAAGTGGGGGTGAAGTGCCTTGCCTAAGGACTCAATTATGATCAACAGCTGGATTTGAACCCCTGACCCTCTGAGCATGAGTTACGAAACCAAACAAATACGGCAACACTAAAACATTAAAACACAAAACGTTCGACAACACGCTTAGCTGCCAACATTTCAAAATCCCAATTAGTAATCAACCCGCGCGGTCATTTTCAACTTCTCGTTTTATTACAAGCTTTACCAACATCGAGTACAGGTACATGGTTTACATGTACACATACATGTGCATACCCTTCTTGTTGTGAATAATAATGTACTGTAGGCCAAAAGATAATTTAAAAAAAAAAAAATTAAAAATTAAAAAAAAAAAAAAAAAAAAAAATTAAATTAATTTTGTTTTAATGTCTGTATTTGTTTGATGAAGTCAAATAAATAATAACATCAATAACATGTGCGCATATTTTTTTGGAGATGCATGCTATCGATGTTGAGTTTCGAGTTCGTATCATGGTTTTACACACAATGATCTATGGCCACCGTATGCAATAGAAATATCCCGCCAACATACCTTGCAAACGCATGCTGATTTATCTTTTCTGTCCGTTGTGACAAACTCAAACTCTATTACCAATTATTCCAACCATACTCTTATTAAATTCCATGATTAAAATCTCGAACTGATGGGTCTCATCCCGGCAATAAGTGACCAAATGTGCTCACGATCGTCACTGAAAAGTACTCACATACAGTACACACAACCACACATCCATGAGATGCACACAAATGACACACCATTGAAAAACAGTTTTAGTCTGGTCCTCAAGTACTCCACTGCGCACACTGCATTGATGTCTATCAGGTGCTTGACTGCATTCTTATTAGACTTGTCACCAGTCCATCCATTATCGCGACATTTCGCCAGAAGTTTTCGGTAAAAAACGATACTTTCCTTCTTTTTTTTTTCGTTAGGTAGAAAATTGGAAATTCATAATGTTTTGGTGGCAAATCGTATTTTCGTAATTTAACAAACAATTCGTAATAATTACGAAAAAATCGTACTAGTTGGCAGCTATGAACACGGTGCAAAATGAGGCATGGGCAGAAGTAAATCACAAGTCAAATCATAAGTCCGGTCACAAGTAACAGGGATTAAACATCAGCAAAGGAATGCATCATTCAGTCCAGCAGCTTGTGTTTACACAAGATTTGGTATCTTGTAATTGGCTTGTGACTACTTGTGAGGACTTGTGACGATTGACTTGTGACTACTTGTGAGGACTCGTGAGGACTTGTATTGAGCTTGCGACTACTTGTGAGGACTTGTTGAGGGCTTGTGATGACTTGTGATGGGATAGTGACTACTTGTGAGGACTTGTGATGGACTTGTGACAACTTGTGATGGGCTTGTGACAACTTGTGATGGGCTTGTGACGACTTGTGATGGGCTTGTGACGACTTGTGATGGGCTTGTGACTACTTGTGAAGACTTTTGATGGGCTTGTGAGGACTCGTGGGGACTTGTGATGGGCTTGCGCCTACTTGTGAGGACCTAACCACTTGTGAGGACTTGTGATGGGCTTGTGACTACTTGTGAAGACCTGTGATGGGCTTGTGAGGACTCGTGGGGACTTGTGATGGGCTTGCGCCTACTTGTGAGAACCTGACCACTTGTGAGGACTTTTGATGGGCTTGTGACTACTTGTGAAGACTTGCGATGGGCTTGTGAGGACTCGTGGGACTTGTGATGGGCTTGCGCCTACTTGTGAGGACCTGACCACTTGTGAGGACTTGTGATGGGCTTGTGACTACTTGTGAAGACTTGTGATGGGCTTGTGAGGACTCGTGGGGACTTGTGATGGTCTTGCTCCTACTTGTGAGGACCTGACCACTTGTGAGGACTTTTGATGGGCTTGTGACTACTTGTGAAGACTTGCGATGGGCTTGTGAGGACTCGTGGGGACTTGTGATGGGCTTGCGCCTACTTGTGAGGACCTGACCACTTGTGAGGACTTGTGATGGGCTTGTGACTACTTGTGAAGACTTGCGATGGGCTTGTGAGGACTTGTGATGGGCTTGCGCCTACTTGTGAGGACCTGACCACTTGTGAGGACTAGTGATGGGCTTGTCAGGACTTGTGGGGACTTGTAATGGGCTTTAACTACTTGGGATGGGCTTGTGAGGACTTGTGAGGGCTTGGGAGGACTTGTTGGGACTTGTTTGGACTTGAGATTGTTTCTATTTGTGAGGAACTGTGATGGGCTTGACTACAACACTCCAGGAGAATGCTGAGTGTGGAGTGGATTTTGCAGTGCATCCACAATCTTGTTGAAGGTAAATTTTTGTCAATTTCATCCCCTTCCAAACCACTGGATTTTATTCTGGACTTCATTGTTTGGAAGTTTAAAGGAGACTTACATCCTTGGCAGAGACGAACTGCATGAAGACGTCGTCGGCTATGCCTGTGGTTGTGACGCTTGGACCATCACCGTCTTCTGAAGCCTGGCCAAATTTTGTCCAGGACTGAAAGTGAACAAGAAAAGCAGGAAAAGTTTAGTCAAGACCTTTTTGATTCAGTTAACCCTAACCCTGCCAGAGGCAACACAGTTAAAAGTAAAGTCCGTCACAAAACAATGCGGCCCATCAGGCCGGCGTTTATCTCCAGTTTGAGCAGCATGAAACGACCAAGAATTTTTGTCTATTCCCCCTGGATGGGATACTAGTCCACCACAGGTTACTCTATAGCTAATGCCTGTGCCCATTTTGTCACCGGTTTCAAGAAGGGACGGGCATGTGGATTTTGAAGAAAAACCGTTTTGGAGATAATCGCAACAGAAGTTTCTCCGTCTTTAAAACTGCAAAAACTACTAATTTGCAACAACTTTATGCAATAAGAAAACCATAACGTAATTCTTTGATAGGTAAACTTTAATTTGAACCCATTAATTATGATTAATAGAGTGGCTAATAAGCCAAAATTAATTAGTAAAGATGCCCGTCCCTTCGTGAAATCGAAAATCTCACTGTTCCACATTTACGCCCTTCTTGTTTAATGTGCTTTTCCATAGGGAAGGGCACGCGTGTTCGATTACGCGCGCGCATCTGAGAATGTAACAAAGATGCCCGTCCCTTTGTGAAATCGAAAATCTCCTGTTGACCTACTTTTACGCCTCTCCGTGCAATACGTTTTGTACGTGTTCAAGGGGCAGGCATGTTCGCGTCTCTTCGTGAAATCGCAAAATGCAATTATTGAGATGCCTACCCCTGGCGTCATTAATGTTATTCAGGAATTAATGATGTTTTGCTTACGGAAACATGTCAGAATGCTTGAGTACCATGTTTTAAAGCAAAATAGTAAAAAAAATTCGAAATCGAAAAAATTGTCAATTTTGACATGCCCGTCCCTTCGTGAAACCGGTGACAATTTATGGGTGAGTTCAAGTAGCTTACCCGGATCCACCCGGGTTAGCCCCGTGCCGTTCGATTAGCTCTGACGGCAACAGCAGACTAAGAGTGTCCATAGGGAAGGGATAGCAATTTTCGATTCAATTTGGAGTGGTTTTTTTTTGGGGGGGGGGGGTTAAAAAAATGTCACTCTTTGCAAAAAATCCAATGGTTCACCTTTCTCAATGCTATGGTCTTGGATGTTTTTCTCTTCTCAATCTTGAAGGTTCTCACAACCTGAACGAGAAAAAAATTAAAAGACTTGCAAATTTAATACTTGCTAAACAGACCAGCTGGAGTTTTAACCAATCAGAATCCTCATTAGCCTTCAAAGTTGGCATGTTTACCGGCAGCTGCAGGTTTCAGTTGTGATTCTGCTATCCAACACATTTATCACATTTTCAAAGAACATGAAACATTTAAAGGGCATATACAACATTTGCAAACATCGAAAAATAAAACTACCAAGTTTTTACGAAATACTTTACTAGGATGTTGGTAAATGACGGTATAAAGCATCCTGTAAAATTATGGCACCTGGTGTGAAGTCATTTTCAAGAAAATAGTATTTTTGTATACATTTCCAACGGTGGTCGGCCGACCACCGTTGGAAAAACCTAACTATTTTTCATTTTTACCATTTACCATTTTTTCAGTCCAAATTTAATTTGCTATTGGATGTTCATGAACGGGTGCAGGCAGGCTAGACAGGTTCCCTTACCTTACAATTTTCCGGCATCTATAAATATTGATCTATTTCATCTTAAGTGGAGTCAGGGAACCAGACTGCTTGAACATTTTTGTTTTTCTTGGTTTTTCCGGCATTTTCGAACACAAAACTTCAAACATGTTAGTGTAACAATATTTGATCTATTACACTAATCCCTCAAATAGTTCATTTATGAAAACTACAACAAAAGCCAATGATGTACAATGTACATTCCTTTTAAGGTAAAGGTTTTTGGAACAAGTCTGATGATTCTTATGCATTTCTGGCAACTTTTACCCAGATATGAAATATGCTACTTTCAGATTACAATAATGCATTAAAAACCATAACTCTCTATAAGCATTTTTGCTAGGATGCAACCTCAATCCTGCAAAATCCTCCAACTGCCTCTGTGTAAAAATTTAATTCAGCCTCAAGCCTCCAAAATCATCCGTTATTTCTTGAATGTGTTCCTTGGAGGGGTGACCACTGCCTCAATCTTTCAAAATCCTCCTGCAATCACTGTCAATATGGTTAGGCAGAGCTAGTGACATCCTGGAGCAATGCGGAGGATTTCAAGTATAATCTAGGCCTAAATTTATGCACGGCTGAAGCCAAAAAAAATAATACATGTAGTTCTGCTTCCAGTTACCCTACCTACATGTTCCCTGCTTTGACAGCCCCATCATAAATTTTTGGGGGGCAAAATGAGGGGGAAAAAACTTGAAAACCATCAATTACTACCATTTTACCCTTGACTACACGCAGGCACCTCCATATGATCGTACACACACAAAAATTGCCCCCCCCCCAAAAAAAAATCTCTACCTGCCTACCCTATTTTCAAATGCCATGTAATCGGAAGCAGAACTTTGGGTGTTTTTTTTTTTGGCCTGAGCATAAATAACACAAGCTCCGGCCTAAGATCTTGACACAGTGCATCCTCCAAAAGCAGCCACACATTTTTCCCATATTAGCCTCAATCCTTGGAAATTCTCAACTTATGCAAGAAGGATTTTGGAGGATTTGGGAAGGTTAGGGTTAACCAGAACAGCCAAAACACAAACAACCCTGAAAATTACCAAGGAATTTCTTGCCAGATCTTCTCTCTCTAAACACATTTGTTACATTTCTGCACTTGTTAAAAAGCATACAGCTGAAGCAAATCCTGCATATCTGATGAAGAAATATATTTATTTTCAAGTCAAGTAGTAGGCCCACCTTCAGGAGTTTGCCGTCATCGTTCCTTTTGTAGTCGATGATTTTCTTGATGTTGCCATCGTGGATGACCTCTCCATCTGGAACATGGTGACCTACACGATTCAAGAAAAAAATTCTGCAGTCACTTCGGACAAACTTTCTCCAAATTTCCCATGAAAATTACAGTATCACAAGACATCTAGAGGTAGGGAATTTGAATTTGGCAATGAATGTTTGGCTGGTGGCTGTTTCCTTTTTAAATGTTATTTAAATGTTATTTTCACGGATGTGAAACAGCCGTCGCATCGCAACTCGCGCGCCTGAGCGACAAGATCGATTTGCATAAATGCGACGTCACAGCTTTGGTGTCATCGCTTCTTACATTCAAAATTGCTGCCATCAACAGACAATTTTCGTGGGCACATGAGCTCCAGAAAGATTTCTCAAAAAATTGGATATTAGGACACCTTAGCATCCTTGAGGAGAACAGCTGAGACATCATAGAATACAACCATATGTAAGAAAATCTTCGCCTTTTTTTGACAAACCCCTCAGTTGTGGGGAGAACCTGGCGTGTGGCTAGGATGAAAAGTGAAATTTCCCGTTCAATTCCGAGTGCTCCCCTCGCGATCGTGAACGTGTTAAATTTCCAACTACTGAAAACTTAGCGAGCGCCCTGCATCGATCATGATAATGAGTGGACTGGATCTCATTTGTAAACACAAGTACATTTCGAACGATGATAGGGAGTCAGGAAATAGGGCAGTTTTTTTATCAGCGGAAACCAGTTCAAGCTAGTTCCCGTTCCCAAGGCACAAACAACCCTGAAAATTACCAAGGAATTTCTTGTCAGATCTTCTCTCTTTTCGAACGATGATAGGGAGTCGGGAACTAGGGCAGTTTTTTGTTATCAGCGGAAACCAGTTCAAGCTAGTTCCTGTCTCCCTATCATCATTCGAAATGCACTTGTGTTTACAAACGAGATCCAGTCTACTCATTATCATAATCGATGCATCGCGCTCGGTAACGGAATCCCACTCGGGATAGGGGGACCATTGAATGAACCCTAGCTGGGCAACACCACATTGTTTTTTTCAAACACGAGTCGGAAATTTAACACGTTCACGATCGCGAGGGGAGCTCTCGGAATTGAACGGGAAATTTCACTTTTCATCCGAATCATAAGTAAACTTTAGTACCTCCATCTTATTCATCGATGTCTACTTGTACCTCTGGTAGCGTAGGCCCGCCCCTATCTAGTAATTTGGAGGCCGTTTTTAGGGTGAAATCTGATGTTTTTGTTGGGCAATGTTGGATTTTGGGTCAATGTGAGCATTGTGTCGCTCGGCATATATATGCGGATCGACTTGGACCCTACTAATACGCCAGACCATGTCTGAATGTTAAAAAGGCGATAAGTTGGGTCCAAGTTACTCGGACTAGCGTGTGGCCAGAGGTTCAGCGCAGCAATACCGCAGCCACAGTAGTGGGCCTACCTACACTCCATAGACTGTGCACGCCTTCCTTCACTATGAAGCAGCGCAGGAATGAAGTTGCGGTCGCTTAATCTGGCGACGTCGCTAGATTTAGGGCTGGTCCCGACCTAGACCCGTGAACGTGGCTATATACATAGCCACGCTTCAATCTATAGTAAAAACTCTCTATTGTTATCCGCGGTTACTAAGATGGAGTGACCATTCTAGTCGAATTTCGGCTACATTTGACAGAATATTTGCATACAAAAATGAGTTGTACAGAAAATCCAGCAGAATGTTTTTTTCGGCAGAATTATGAAGATGAAGGAAAATGAAAAAGATTAGAGAAATATGGCACATTTGATTCGAAAAACCTTCATTTATTGAAAGATCCCTGAAACAAATCAGTGCACAATGACAATGGACCAGCAATTATACTGGGTGATTTGGCAGACCTTCAAAGTGGATTTAGCAGAATTTTACATGGTATTACGGTCATCCTGATCCTGCTATGTAAGACAGTTAGTCGGGTACCCACTGGTGGGACTCCTACCGTTTTGCGCATGCGGAACTCGGGGTACCAGAGTTGTCATGCTTGTCTTTGATTTTCTGATCATTTTGAAAACGTTCGTTGTGACAAAGTTGTGCCATACTTTACATCAAATTTCTTGGCAATGACAGATCTAACACTCGCGTGAATTCACAGGAAGCCTAACAAGTTAAGTTCAAGTAAGTGATTTACGTATGGGCAAAATGGTAATCCTTACTTTTAGGACCCCTTTCCTATTATAAGGTTAAAAGACTCACCAAAACAGCTGACTAAATGACACTCAAAAGTGACATTCTGATATTTATTGACACATTTGAACATTTGGCAATGACACCTCTTGAATATCAGCAGGTTTAATTTTGTAGAAAGAGGGCAGGGTTTTGATTTATGAGGGGTTAAAGACGACGATGACAAACAGAAAATAAATTTAAAAAGCAAGATGGCGAACTGCAAAAAAAGGTAGGAAAGTCACATTTTCTTTGAAAGTGCTTTCTAAATTATAACTAACATGAGTTTGTCTGAAGAAAAAAGACTTCTTTAGCCTGCAAAAGTCACTTTGGTACTGGACAGTCATCTGCAAAAGTCAGTTTTGAACAGAACTCGTACAAAATAGAGGTGTCCTAAAAGTAAGGATTACCGGCAAAATTATACATGCATGTTCACGGGTCTAGTCCCGACCTGGCAATAAGGCGTGTTTCACTAGGCATCGTCTCGTTTAGACCCGTGAACGTGGCGTTGTATACAACGCCACGTTCTTGTTTCATTTCGAACCTGGCGAAATCGATCCGACATACATAATTCCGTATGGGTGTTGAGTACTCACCTAGAAATCTAAATTGGCCGTCCGATTGTTTAGGCTGTGTAATTTCGAAGAAATTTGCCCATCAGTAAAGACCCATACGAACGTGTAGAAATTAGATTTTAACCTGACCCTGACAAATAACCCCGGACGCGTCTGAGTCGCTTGGACAGATTGACGGCTGTTTCATGTCGCAACCCCGAAAAAAAAAACCCGCAGACGATTGGCTGCTCGGCTCATCTCGATCTCGTGTACAGTACGTGTGTGCACACACACGCGGGCGCACGTGCGACCGCGTGCAGTGCGGTGAGAGAGGAAAGGACTTGAAACTTGTCTAAAACGATGTCTGTTTTAGCTGCGACAGTAAACAGCCGTCGAATCATACGAAAATAAAACGCAATGCGCATGCGTCAGTTGGGAGAAAATGGCAGCTAGCAGTAGCGGACGGACTTCATGAACCGGGGCCAGAATTTTCCTCAATTTTCGTCAAATGCAAGTTTTGACGTACAAATAGAATTCAAGACAGCTTCATATGTGAGTACTTATTACATGGGCAAAATAACGTCCAGTGTGTGTAACGGAGGGAGTCAGAGGGACACGTTCGCCAGGTTCGAAAATAGACAACAGCGTGGCGTAGTTTACAAGCCACGTTCACGGGTCTACGTCTCGTTAATCACGGGGCAAAAAGAACACGCATTGTTAGACGCGGCAGAATTTTCAATGATTTTGGAATGACCGCATGATGACTTGGAAGTGCCAAAGTTTTCCCATTGACGATGTGTACACAGCAACGCGTGTAAAATTACAAGATGGCGCATATTACAGTGAAACACCTTATTTTAAATTTAATATTTTTTCACGAAAATAGTTAAATTGGTAAATCATATGCCACTCACCCTGTTCGCCAGCCTCGACTTGGTCAGCCCAACTTATCGGCTTATTTCTGTCAATTAAAACGACAAAACCGCATGTAATCAATAGATTTAAAGCTTCTCATAAACATCAAACCTAAATAATGTGGAAAAAGAAGGAAACTTACGTGTCTGCTATCGGCATATTGTAAAGATTTAGCTTCACTTTTCTCGAGCATGTCAAAAGTGCACACACATGCGCTGGCTAGACTGTGACTGAATGACGTCAATTTTTGTGTTCGGGAAAACGCGGGAAGGGGTCAGGAACCGGACTGTACAGGGTCCGATTTATGCCATAATTGATTTTTTTTGGGGGGGGGGGGGCTAGCCCGCTAGCCCACATACCATGCGCATGGCGGGTTGGCGGCAGGGATCTTGGGTCCGGGTGTGGAAATAAAGTAGTTTTAAAAGAAAATCGAAATCCAGACTGTTTTGAATCCCGGGACATTATTTCGTTTTACCGTTTTGGATTTCCTCAAAAACAAAAACAGTAAACGCACCGTTGACCGTTTTTTTGTTTTACAGTATTTTGTAAAACGGTCAAACGGTATTAGGTCACAAAAAACAATGACCTTTTTGTTGTTTTTCTTAATTGTTGAAAGCGATAAACGGTTAGTTGCTTCATTTCAGAGTGTTGTTTTAAAAGAACATGACAATGAAAAACGGTCAATAGTCCTGTCGACCATTTTTTGATTTAGGTTCGGCAATTAAGCAATGCACCTAGGAATGTTAATGCGTCCTCATGGGATCGAGTCATTGCCTGGGACCCTCACATTTCGTTCACACGACATAGTTTTCGAACTGGCTATTGAAGAGCCGCGCCGAACTCCAATTTCCTTCAAATATCTGCAACTTCTTCAAACGTATTACCATCCTGTATCCATTGTAAAAAGAAATGTCCTCCCTTGAAGTTTTCCAGCGCCATTTTTGCTTGCAACTCTTAAGCCCCACCAACTGAATCGCATGATAAGGGGGTCAGGGTCACGCCAGGAATCATCACACCACGCATTATGCCGAGGTAACACTTTTTCATGTAAAGCATGGTCCCCCTCCCATCCCCATTGCCCAGCACCGCAAAATGCACCACGGACTGTTCACTATGACACTGAAACAAAAAAACAGTCTGTATTCAATACTGACCGTTTTGCTGTTTGTCAAAGTTATTTGTGTAAAACTGTAAAACAAAAATCATTGATCGTTATGCTGTAATGAATTTTATTAAACTTATAAAACAGAGAAACCGTATTTATCTTGATACCGTTTAACCGTTTTACAAAACTGTAAAACGACAAAACGGTCAATGGTTTGTTTACTGTTTTTGTTTTGAGGAAATGCAAAACGGTAAAACGAAATAACGGTATGTCCCGGGATTGTTTTTCCACGCGATATGGGAGATACTTACCCAGCTAATAATAACCGGTAAAAACTGAATTCTTTATCTCTATATGTCTATAGTATCCTGTAATTTTCAGGCGACGTTTGCACTACTGTACAGGGTGAGTAAAAAAAACACCGAAACCCCGGAATGTCGGGACCACTATTTTAGTAAAGTTCTGCATGTAGCACTTTCAAAATCTAGGATATGAACGTTCAATTCATAAGCTTTCTTCTAGTACAAAAATCATTCAAATCACTCATGTAATGTTCAAGTTACTGAATTTTAAACACAACCACCGTTTTAAAGTTCTGTCCACGGATCACAAACAAAGTAAGTTTTCTTTGAGCAAAACGAAAACAAATCACAAAGGGATGTGTGTGAATTGTTTTCGTGTTTTGTTGCTGAAAGAATGCACACCCTTTAAAGCAAAAAAGTGTGACACCCGATCGAAATGCTCATTAGGCGCTGCCCTTTCCTATGGCATGTCAAACGTTGCAATATTCAATATTTTGCAATATATATGTTGAATATGTGTTTGTTATCTTTTACATTTATGTGCGATGTTCAATATAAGTGTGCGATGTTTTTCATTATTTGCGCGATGTTTAATATATTTGTGCGATGTTTTACAATATATGTGCGATGTTCAATATATGTGTGCGATGTTTTACATTTATATGCGATTTTCAATTTATATGTGCGATGTTTTTGATGATATATATGTGCAATGTTTTCAATATTATGTTCGATTTTTTGCATTAAATGTGCGATGTTTTTCGATACAATTGTGTGTGTTGTTTTACAATATATTTGCGATATTCTCAAATATGTGAGCAATGTTTTACACATATGTTTGACATTTCGAGCTATTTGTATTCGATGTTTCATCGGTATGTTTGCATTCGATCTTTTGCAATATGCATTTGATGTTTCCCTTTTCATTCGATGTTTCGTTAAGAGTCAAAGTCTGGTTACTAGACCGCGAAAGTCTGACTATTTTGCCTAAAGTCAGTGTATGAGACGTCAGGGGATCGCGTAAAGTGATTAGAGCCAGACCTAAACGGTAAAAACCGGAATTGTGGGTAATTCTTTAAGCATACGCAATGCGTTCATCATTGTTTGGGCAGTACCCCCAGCTGTGCCTGTACTACCCATACATCATCATTATATGCATTGAGGAGTGCATGACACATGGTCTGAGCTCCAAGGCCGATGTGCACCTTTCCCGTTTTTTACCTGATAATTTGTTAGCAAAAGCTGATGTAAAATTGGGCAAAATTAGATGTTTATGAAAAAAAAATCAAATTGTAAGGGGTTTACCTTGCATTTTTTTGTTGTTGCAAAATCGGGAAAAATCAGATGTTTCTGAAAAATTGCAGATTGTATGGGGTTAGATGTTTATGAAACATTTCAAATTGTAAGGGGTGAACATTGCATATTTTAGCAAAATTGGGCAAAATCAGATGTTTCCAAAAAAATTCAGATGTAAGGGATTAACCTTGCTTTTTTAGTGAAATTTTGCAAAGTTAGATGTTACGAAAAATTTCAAATTGAAAGGGGTTAACCTCGCATTTTTTAAAAGCGAAAATAAGGAAAAAATCAAATGTTTCTGGAAAATTGCAGATTGTAAGAGGTTAACCTTGCTTTTTGAATAAGATTGGGAAAAATTAGATGTTCATAAAAAAAATGCAAATTGTAAGGGGTTAACCTTCCTTTTTGTTTTTGCAAAATAGGACACAATCGGATGATTCTGGAAAATTGCAGATTGTTAGGGCTTAACCTTGTATTTCTAGCAAAATTGGGCAAAAAGAAATGTTTATGAAAAAAATTTAATTGTAAGAGGTGTACCTTGTATATTTAGTAAAATTTGGCAAAATCAGATTTGTATGAAAAATCTAAAATGGTAAGGGGTTAACCTTGCTTTTTTAGCAAAATTTGGAGCATATTTTACTAAAATTGGGCAAAATCAGATGCTTCTAAAAAATCCAGATGTAAAGTTTCCGCAAAAACAGCTGTTGAAAAAGAACTTTCTGAGGTCTATCGAGGGGACGATCCTTATTTCAACTCCCGGAGATTCGCTGACAGTCTCTTTTTTTTCTTTTTAAGAAAGTCGAAATAGCTGAAGAGGGAGGTGAGAATCTATATGTGCCCAGATACAAAGAGTAGAAATCTACGCGTCTGCCTTTTGAAAATACACAATTGCGGTGTTCATTGTTGCGTAATGATCCGCCTAGCACACGACTGTTTTGCACATTAGGCTGTGTTATGCAGCTTCCTAACAAACCAAACACACTGGGCTCATTATATCGACTTGTTTTTACCCATTAAGGTAAAGCAAATGGACCCAGTAATCTTCCTGGCGCGCGTTTGCTCACCTATAGAGACAACTGTTCTCAGTTTAAGAAAAATTCTAAGGTAACGAAATGGCCGAGTGGTTACGATTCGTCGTCCACGGTTAGCGGGGTCCCGGGTTCGAATCCCGCTGGTGTCTTTTTGGTTTTTAACGTATGAGTTCAATCATTTACTATAAGAGATTTAATTTCCCGTCGTAAAGTACCAACAGTACCTTAGCTTAATCGGTAAGCACTGCTGCTGGTACTGTCCGCGAGTTCCAGGTTGGCGCCTTCGTACAGGTTCAGGGCATGTGGTCCACTCGGAGGATCAGGGCTTAGGGGCCGCCCTGTTCCTCCCTTAGCTCTTTGCTTTTACATGGTGCCTTGCCTTCCGTGGTTATATGGATGGATAGGGAAGGAAGTGTGTATTGGTCGGGGACGCCGAGACCCCGGAAGAGAACTAAGGGATCGGCTGGGGCATTGTTATGGCTCAGACCGATCCCTGTAAGCTTGACTAGCACATAACTTTTTGATTTTTTTTACCCTCTATCTTTTATACTTTGGTTTAGTTTGATATCTACAGCTGCTCGGCAGGTCTACGGGTAGTATCAAAATTGAAACAAAGGTGTATGTCATAAATCAATGAATATTTCATAATTGACTATAATCAAAACGGAGTTTCGTTTGATCAATTTGACTATCATTATATAATGACGCGATTGCCAATTGACGTAAGTAACGCCATAAATTATACCGGGAAAGAATAAAGATGTACATTGTAATATAAATATTATTTATACATCTTTCAAATAACGTGTCTTTAATTGTGAGCATTCCAAACAATACAGTAATTCGCAATAGTAATATAATGGTATATGATAGCACGATCAATGCGTCTCTATTTAATTTAAAAAAATATAATTTAGGCCCCTATGTGTGAAATATTCTTTGATTGACTATGAGCATTCCATACGAATGAGTTAATTCGCAAAATATAGCAACAACAAAAGAGAAAGGAAAAAGAGAAAATTCCTTTACCCTAAAGACTGGAAAAATAATTTGTTTTAAAAAAGTCAAATGGGACACTTCATGTATTGATTTAACAGTTTGCAAGGGGTTAACCTTACATTTTAGCAAAATTGGGAAAAATCAGATGTTTCTGGAAAATTGCAGCTTGTAATTAGGGGTTAACCTTGCATTTTTAGTAAAAGTTAGATGTTTATGAAACATTTCAAATTGTAAGGGGTGAACCTTGCATTTTTTAGCGAAATTGGGCAAAATCGGATCTTTCTGGAAAATTTCAGATTGTAAGGGGTTAACCTTGCTTTTTTAGTGATATTTGGAAAAATAAGATGTGAATAAAAATGTCAGATTGTAAGGGGTTCACCTTCCACTTTTAGCAAAATTGGGAAAAATCAGATTTTGTATGAAAAATCAAAAATTGTAAGAGGTTAACCTTTGCCCAATTAGGGCAAAATCAGATGTTTCAGGAAAATTGCAGATTGAAAGGGGTTAACCTTGCATTTTA